ATAATTTATCTTAGAAATATTATTAAAAAATACATATAATATACATGAACAAAAAATAAAAATATTATTATATTTTTTCTTTAGTATACCCATTATTTTTCATTTTTAAAACCAAGTGTACGGAAATTAAGGAGTATGTTTAATAAAAATAACAAAAATAATATGGACCTTATGTATTCATTTGATGTTGAATACAAAAATTCAATTGATGATAGATATAAAATAGCATATAGTTAAATTAGCCTAATCCAATAAATGAGTAATATTAGTTACTGGATCCAATTTATATTACTTAAATGAACAAAAATATAGTGTTCGAATTTTTGTATAATATAAATATAATTATATTAATATGATAATATAGTAAATAAATAAAAAAGAATGTTTATAATACCTAGTAAAATGCTATAATATATCGAAATTAATTTTTTAATTATTACTACAATTGGAAAAATAAGCATTTTACTAATTAAAAGGAAAATAATTTAAACACATATATCTTATTGCCATATTTATTGTAATCATAACATCTTATATTTATTTACTTGGAGATACAAGCAGTGCATGATGAACTAACACAAACACTCTCACAAGAAAAAATTAGTTGTTAAAAAAAAATTAATCATTAATATTAGAAAATCATTCTTCTGCTTATAAATATATATATAATAAATTAATTTCCTAATATAATATTGAAAAAATTAAGAGTGTTATACTTTCTTTTTAGAGAAATCATGTGAATGCTCCTTATATAAGCATTATATTGACTTCCGGTATTTTTTTCCAATGAATATAATATAATCAAAAGAAGAAGGGAAAAAGAAAAAACGTTAACCATATAAATAACACTCTAATAACTCGAAAAGCATATATACCTACAAAGGGTGTAAATATAAATAAATTAAGGTACAGCTAGTGAATATGCATATGTAAAATAATTTCATTTTAACAAGGATACATATATTTTTAATGTTATAAAATATGGTTTTTAATTTAATCAAAAAAGAAAAAGAAGTCATAATTGTAATATATTATAATTGCAAAAAAATATTACAAAAAAATTAAATAAACTAAATATATAATTATACTATAGGTGATCATTAAATCTTACTTTTTGGATTTAGTATATTTCTCCAAGGAACTAAAACAAAATTATTAGAAAAAATCTAATATATTAATGTTGAATATTAATTTATATCTCTTCAAAAATGTATGTATATATATATTATTAATACATTAATATATTTTTTTTTTTTTTAAAACTTTTTATAAAATTATAAATAATATAATTATATATGGTTCAAAAAATTTTTTATCATTGAACATTAAACACTCACATGTTAATTTTATTTGATTCACTCATTATATCCTTTAAAAAGATTAAATATTGTTATTTTTATGGCAAATTTTTTTTCATGTAATGTTGTTTCAATGCATTAAAGACTATTAAATTTTTTATTAGAAATATAAGTTTTTTATAATTTATGCTAATTATAGATAACGTAAAATTTACAATCAAAAAGTACATATATTATAATATGTGTGAAATCAAGAACAATATATGTATATCTTAATTTCATAATAATATATTATTACTCATCTATATTTATGTACAAAAAAATAATAATTAATGATTCAGATGTAAAAATAAAATTCTAATAAAATTTTTATTGTATATAAATACCATAAACAATTAACTTATGTAATTTTGAAAATATAAAAAAAAGTAATATAAAATATAAAAAAATAATTATATTT